AGAAATAGTTGCTAACCTGTTAATCAAAAACATTGGTATTGAATATGGCTTGTTTGCGGCACTTTAAATGTCAGATAACATTGGCCTGTATTTTCCAAGGGCTGCACCAAAAGTTTTATAATAGTCAGACTCTAATATACCACTGAAACAAATATATTATTCACCACTACATTCACAAATACTGCCGCCTCTGATGTTGATCACATTCAAAATAACATACAGGTTGTTGTTCATCCCTGAAATGACAGGAGACAAGGTAACAAACACAGGAGGTAATGTTGCTGAAGCTGCAAGGTTTGCATAGAATTGAAGTTAGTATTAACATAAATATTCATGACAGGAGCATGCCTTCAGGTAATGGTGGGCCCATTCTTCTGCCAAGTCAGTTGTGGGAGAATCATGCAAATTAAGCATAAAGTTGATGTGGAAGATTAATATTCATTGGAAAATTAACATAACACAGACCCTGATGTGTGCAGCCATGAAGTCCTGAGCCACATATTGAGCTAAGACTCCAAATTCATGCTTATTCTCCTGTTCATAGCTAACCTTCATTTTGGCCAAATTCTACAAAGTATGGTAGATTGAAAACTCATTGTGTGTGTGTGTGTGTGTGTTTGTGTTTGTGTGTAGGTGGAACCAGTTGGACCTGGCCATTGTGCTGCTGTCAGTGATGGGCATCACCCTGGAAGAGATTGAGATCAACGCCTCCCTCCCCATCAACCCCACCATCATCAGGATCATGAGGGTGCTCAGGATAGCACGAGGTACACACACACACACACACACACACACACACAAAAGCAAATTTTAAACTCACACCTGAGATGAACATGTTCTCACATGACATTTTCTGAAATTAGTGCTGTCATATTGTACTTACATGTAGTGTAAAGTCCTTATTAACCTCAAGTGCAGACAGACTGGTTTCTGGTTTAAAAAGTATTTTTTCATTCTGCTCCTGTTTTAATTTGTTGTTTATGTCATTAATGCAAGCTCAAAATACAGTTTACCAGTTGTTACAATTGATTTTTTCAATCAGGGTTAAGTCACTGAAACTCAGCACTTCTTGCACAAATAATTCACATTAAAAGCCTCGCCACAGCTCAACAGGTGAAATCTCTCCCTTCCCTGTTAGCTTTTAATGTGAGACATCAGCAGAAAGTGTTACAGTTCTGTTTTTGTCCGATATTATCCTAATTCTCCCTGAATTAAAGTAACACTGATATACCATTTCTATCTTTCAGTCTCTCTCCTGTTTAATATGATTCTCATTCAGCACCTTTGTTCTTATTATTTAGAGGAAATTACAGGACTAGCTCTCTGGGCTGCACCAATTCCTCTTAACTTCACACTGAGGAGGATAAAAGCTAATTACATCAATCTTACTTAAGCCTCACCCTCTTACCATCGCCCTCTGCCCTCCATAATACTGCCCAGGGACCGCTGAGTGGACCCATGGGTAATATGCTAATTAAAACAGCAGCTGGTGGTAATTAACAAGCAAGTGGGGTATTTGATGATGAGTTTGAGGGCTACTGGTGACTTATAGTCTTTCCTCTCCTCTCATAATATTATTACCGCTTTGTCTGCATGTTAACTAACTTGTGTGACTGTGGGAAAGAATATTAATATGTTTCAGAATCGTTTACTTCTTTCACAGAGCTGAATTTTAAAATGACACCCAACCAAAGGAGAGATTTAGCTACACTGGTTGAATATTTATAGTACAAAGCTACGGTTTCATTCATATTCATCGTTCTACTTTTTGTTTTTGTTTTACATAAACAACACAATACTAATTTCACCTACGGTGTGTCATAATTATATTAAAATATAAGAGCTTAGGCAAGGACTTTGGTACATGAGGCTCGTGATCTACCAGGTGAGCTACCAGGGTACAGCAAAGGGTGCTGACTTTTTCCTGGTACCAGTGGCTTTATCCTAGCCATCATTTTCTGTTTCCAAATGATGTTGTTGTCTAGGCGTTTGGAAAGAAGGTTCTTAAAGAGCCTATATAATGCTGGATAACGATTTAGAGTTGCTCTAACCATGCACTACTGCCACTACATCCACCTTCTCTCTCACACCCACGCACATATAACCAACACCAACCATCATGACCGAAAAACATCTCCCAGCAGGCTTTTTTGTCTGAGCAGCCATTGTTGTTCCTCGACAGAATACGACCGTGTTTTTTTTCTCTTTGCTGCTGGCCGCATTGTCAGTCACATTCCTCCAGAAATTGGACCGCTGGGAATTGTGTACGGTCTCTAACAGAGAGTCGGGAACGTTTTCCAACTATCGATCGTTTGTTATCTCTCTCCTCCTCGTATTCTGCCTACCTCTTATCCGTCTTGATTGTTCCCTTCTCTCCCTCATCTCCGTGGTGTCTTTTGTTTCACTGTCTCTCACTCTGTACGTGTTTTCTGGTGTTAATCACCCAAACACTCATGTCCAAAGTAGCACACAGACACACATACATGCAGTTGTTTGTGTGGATTCTGTCGTCTCACCCTGTAATCTCTCTCCAGTGTTGAAGTTGTTGAAAATGGCAACCGGGATGAGAGCTCTGCTAGACACAGTCGTCCAGGCTCTGCCTCAGGTATGTGTCATCACACACACATGCACACTCACACACAAACATCCTCCTTCAGATTATCACAAGGACACACAGGAGTTAATTAACATTTGTGGGATGATAAACGATCGGCGAAAGAAGCTCCCTAAGAATTATGACTTTCAGGAACCTGGGTTATGACTAAATCTTTGCCCCCGATGTTACAAAACCTTGCTAACATTTCACTGTTGCTCTCATTTATTCAGTGAATATAAGACCTTTGTAGCATTAATGTAAGATTTTTAATTCCCACAGCCGTTGATAAGAGAAGAGGGGGGGGAAAGTTCTGCTCCCTTAGTGCACGGAAATACTTTTTGTTCTTTAGCCTTTTCTCAGATTCATATATTAAAAGTTTGCTCCTCCTGTTATTTCTGGAATACTGTGGATTTTTGAGAGCAGCATTCACACAGGAATTCCATATATTACTTGCATTAGATGGTCTCTGCAGATGGATATTACTAGAGAAGAAACCTTTCAATAATCCAATAATTATTATTATTTTCCTTTTTTTTTTCAGTCTGCTTTTTTGTGTTCTGGCTGCCTCTGCAGTTGGACGTCTTTCCATCACTGTCACTTTGTCTGCCTCCATCAGTTCAGTTATTAATTAGTTGGTGTTTTCTGCGCCTGAAGCAGAAGAGCAGACAGATTAAGTTTAGACTAGTTAGTAACAGAAAGGATTTTTGTCAGATAAATAATGATATATGTTGGTTTGACATTTGGTTTGACAAATTGCCCAACTAATGATAAGTGGCTTTGGATGTTCTGTAATAAAAGAAAAAGATTTGCCCAGTACAGGCTACCAGAGATGACATACCCATTAGTTGGTGCATTAAAGAATAAGGCATCTTTTGTTATTGTGAACAAATCCAATAGCAACAATGAATCAGTCCTTCACTTTGTACTGTTTGAATCCCCCCTCTGTCTATGTCTCTCAGCCACAAGCCCATTTATTCCTATTGACAACATGAATTGTTAAGAATACGTCACAAATACATATTTTCTTTTTTGGACACAGGAGTAAATAGTGAATTAATAGGGACTGTGTTCAGCTGTGGATGCGGTGCTGTGATGTAAACTGCTGAGGCCATTAGGACACCAGTGAAGGTCCTATGAGACACAGAATAATCAATTAGGTTTTGCGCTAGCCACAAGCAATGTTTGGTCTTGAAAATAATGAAAATACCGAATTTACTTTTCCATTTCTTTGTGCCAGTTTATTGTTTATTAGAGAGTTATGTGTGTGTAACAGTTTCTTAACCAACAACAGCTAATCCATCCTCCCAGCACTTCTGTGCAGCATCTCTGCTGGTTACCTGGCAACCTCACTGTCACCGCTAGCTGTGACGCACACATCAACATGAACCCCAATATACAGTACTCAGAACAGAAACAATACATGTATACAGACAGAAACAACAAAGTGCACACAACTAAAGCAAAAAGATTGAGTTATACGTATCAAACTTTCTGTCAAATGTTTTCTAAATTAAGTTGTAGTTTGTCATATTTTTTAGGTTTCTTTTTGACATCATAATCAGCCTTGTTGAGCTGTAAATGGCTCTAAAGCTATGAATGTTTTATAGAATTAATTCCAACTTCTCGCTTCTCCATAGTACCTTAAAAACAGAGCGGATGATTTTAAAAATTAGCTGTGGGGAGATAACATTTTTAAAATGAAATTACTCAGACAACCCGGATGTGCATTTATATTATATATATTCTTTTTTTCTATATGTGAAGAAACCAGAGAGAACACCAATGAATCTGAACTGGCTGTTCTGTCTAAAACAACCCTTTATTAAAGACATTTGTAAAGGAGTGAGTCAGTGTGCAGTCAGACGTTGATTTTTTCAGTTCTGCTGCCTTATCAATGCTCTGACTGGAGCCCTCTGGGAAGATCTTTGTCTCCTTGGTGTTTGTGTATAAAAACATGTACACACACATATACTGTATACACACATTAACACAACACAGGCTCACACACTGAAGTAAAATTACAGTCACAGAAACCTCGCTCGCTTCAGTTGTGCCTCCAATCAATAGTCCTTTTTTTCCATCCACTTTAACTTGCTGCTCTGTCGTTTGGATAAATCGGTTTTGATGGTCTTGTTTTTGCGGTGGAAGCTTAGACAACAGCAAGAATACACATCAAGCTAATAGGGGGTCACAGGGAGTATAGAACTGTGCTGTAGTGTTGTGAACATCAGCAAACACAAGGCATTACAGGTCAAAAGGAAATAAAACATGTTTTTTATCTCATCAGAAAGACCTTCTGAACGTGGATATGAAACAAAACTGTTTAATACTGCACAGCACTACTTTCCCCAGTTATCCCCTATTACACTGAAAAAAGTGTATTTTAGTTTATTGTATATTTTTTTTACAGTACAGTTTCTGCTTCCATGGTGCCGTCATTCTGACCTGTTGGTTTCTTGTAATGTTATTCTGGAAATCTGTAGTTACATATGTCTTTAAAGGGTAGATTCCCCACTTTTCAACCTAGACATGTCTCCCCTAATTTATTATTATGCAAAACCTCACTGATAGCTTCTTTAGTGACGTCGTATTCTGCTGAGTTAGTT